CCCCCCCCCCCCCCCAGGGGTGCCCTGTCCCACCTCTGCCAGCCATGAACTCCTCCAGGTATTGGGCCCATGTCCCGGGATGCGGCTGGGACTTGTTCATCAGGTCAAAGTGGTAGAAGGAGACGGCCACATCCTTGGCGTTGCGCCCCACGTAGATCATCTGCAGAGGGGCCGTGGGGTATGAGGGGCAGCCCCAGGACCCCCAACAGGGGGGATGCTCCAGCCCCTAGGGCTCCCAACACCACTTAGGATGCTGGAGGGAGCAGCGGGGGTCCTGTCCTGGGGGAACAGGGGTGCTGCAATGCCCCCTGGGGCAGAGACCAGGGTTGGGGGGTTACCTTGCAGCGGTTTTCCCAGAAGGATTTGGGCAGGATATGTGCGGGTAGGTGGGTCTTCACCACACGGGGCGAGGGCATGGTGGCCAGCAGGTCCGTCCCTGGGGGACCCCAAAGCATGTCCCCATCAGGCCCTCGGCAGAGTGCCCCCGGGCTCAGCCCTCAGTGGGGTGCCCACGGCCAAGCCCCCAGGCCCCGCTACCTGCTGACATCTCCCCGGGGGCAGAGAACTCCAGCATGGGCACCCTCTTGGTGATAATGTCCCGCTTGCACTTCTCAGGGTTGCCACCTTGCAGGATCATGTCCACGATCTCGCTAACCCAGGTGGTGCCTGGGGAAAGCAACGCACCAGGGGGGCGGCCAGGGCAGTATTGGGGGGCTCAGCACTGACAACCCACCCGGACCTCAACCAGGCACCGTGGGGGCGAAGGGAAATCCCACGCGGCTCTGTCCCAACAACCCCAAATGTGCTGCGTCCCCCCAGGCAGTGGGTCCCAGCCATACAACATGCTTGCCCACCCGGCACCACCATGTCTGGTGGGCTTGGGGATGCTCACCAGATTTGGGGAAGGTGACCACCACGATGTCCTCAGGGTGGCTCTGGAAGGTGTCAACCCGCTCCCAGTCATGGGCAAAGGCGCTGACCATGGGGATGCCGTGCACCATGCGCCAGGGCTGCCGCAGGTAGGTGTCCGGATTGGCCATCCTGCCGGGGACAGGGGCATGTGGAGGGGCTGGCCAGTGTGGGGGGGCCCCCTCACCCTCCCAGGGAGGCCGCCGGCCAGGGCAGTGCGGGCACCTGCCACCATGCCTGCCTGGGGAGTGGCAGTGATGCCGCCAGTGCAGGGACCGGAGGTCACCGCGGCCCTGCTGCTGCGCCCGCAGTTGGGGACAGGGGTCCCGTCGTCTGTGGGGTGGGAGCCCAGCCCGTGCCCCAGCGAGGGCTGGGGGTGCCCATGGTGTGCCGGTGTCACCCAGGCCAGGCACCTCTCACCCTGTCTCAGCACCCCAGAGGAGCAGGGAACCGGGTCCCTAGGGTTATTGCAGCAGCCCCCAGCCCCAGGGGAGGTTTAGGGGTGCTGGCTGCACCCCAAAGTACCCCAAACCCACCACCCTAGACCCCGCAGCACGCAGTCCCGAGCGGCTGAGCGTGGGCAGGGCACCCACAGGGCACCCCAGGGCACCCAGCTCACCTAATGCCGTGCCGCTCTGCGCCAGGAGGGTGACAGGGTGGCGCCGGGAGGGTGACAGCAGAGGACAAGGAGACGCAGAGCCCCGTGGCAGTTTTTACGGGGCGGAGAAGGGAAGAGGCAGGGCAGATGAGGGCAGCAATGTTTGTCAGCGCTGCGGCTGCTGGGAGGGAGGGGCGAGTGTGGGGAGAAGCCAGTGGCCACTGACCTCCCGGCAGGGCCATGGCGGACATCTCCAGCCACACCAGCCCTGCTCCCCACGCACAGGTCCCAGGCTGTGTCCCCCTGCATGGGGACGGGGAGGCCACCTCTCGCTGCCCACACCCAGCCAGCACCTTCCCCGCACGCAGTTTTGCCGAAATCCTCTGCAATCCCACGAGCTGCCGGCGGCAATCCCCCCGCCACAGCGACCAAGGGGATGTGGGGTGGCACCGGCTTGTCCCCAACCCGAGGAAAGGCCAGCAGCCCCGGGGGGATGGCTGGGTTGGGGTCAGCACAGGCACAGGGCAGTGAGCATCCCATGGGGGGGTCAGGGAGGACGTTTTCTTTCTCTCCAGCTGTCCCAGGAGAGGGGAAGGAGCCCCTGGCGTGGTGGCGGTGCCATCAGCACGGGTTGGATTTGGGGGGTGTCTGGCAGTGCCTCCTCAGATCTGGGTGCGGAAGCGCAGGTCAGTGCCCGACATCTTCTGTGCATAGTCCTGGTCAAAGCGCTCGCTCTGGGCCACAGTGAAGTGGTTCTTCCAGTCTCCAGCGGTGCCTGGGGTCAGGCAAGATGGGGCTCAGCAGGGGCCAGGGGGGCCGACACTCTGGGAGCCCCCTGGGGCCGCTCACCTTTGCGCATGAAGGGGGAGATGCCCTGGTCCATGAGGTGGGAGGGCACCATGCTGTAGTTGGTGGTGGTGTGCCAGCCATGAACTCCTCCAGGTATTGGGCCCACGTCCCGATATGCGGCTGGAACTTGTTCATCAGGTCAAAGTGGTAGAAGGAGACGGCACGTTGTGCCCCGTAGATCATCCCAGACCCCACACCACCATCTACCCCAGTCCCTCACCTCCTTCAAGTCCTCGTAGAAGAGGTAGAGGATGGGGTGATCTTTCCTCCGCTCCCAGTAGTCCTTGACATGGTCATACCAGGAGCCATATGCCACTGTGTGGAGAGAGTGGCCGGGGGGGTGGTGTCAGTGGGGGGGCTGGAGGAGGGATATGGGGTGACACACACCCCCCCCCTCCCCAGGGGTGCCCTGTCCCACCTCTGCCAGCCATGAACTCCTCCAGGTATTGGGCCCACGTCCCGGGATGCGGCTGGAACTTGTTCATCAGGTCAAAGTGGTAGAAGGAGACGGCACATTGTGCCCCATGTAGATCATCTGCGCACAGCTTGGTGACATGTGGGAACTTGCAAGGTCCTGGCAGGGCAGGTCCCCCCCTTATCTCTGCTGGGTCCCTCCAGGTGTGTGTCCTCCAACCTGTTACCTTGAAGCGGTTTTCCCAGAAAGATTTGGGCAAGATGTGAGCTAGGATGTGGGTCTTGATGATGCGAGTGGATGCCATGGCCTCCAGCTGCTCCATGCCTGCAAAGGAGATTTCCCCCAGGAGCACTCCCACTGCTGGCAGGGTGCACCCCCCCAAACTAAGTCTCCCCCCATCTGGCATCCGCTGCCCCCCCGCCACCCCCTGCCGCCCTGCTACCTGCCGGCATCATCCCAGAGGCGGAGAGCTCCAGCATGGGCAACCAGTTGACGATGGCATCCCGTTTGCATTTTTCGGGGTGCCCACTTTCAGGATCATGTCCATGATCTTGCTGACCCAGGTGGTGCCTGGCGAGGAGAGGTTGGGTGTCCGGCTGGCGCCATTCCCATCAGAGCCCCATCTTGGGCACCAGAGGTGCACTGTCCACTGCTGTTGCCTTTCGGTATCTCCCCAGATCCCAGCCTGGGGGACTGCAGGCTGGTACCTCCCTTCCTGAGTGCAGCCCCTCTCCGGTGCCCGGGGACACTCACTGGATTTGGGGAAGGTGACCACCACAATGTCCTCAGGGCGGCTCTGGAAGGTGTCAACCCCCTCCCAGTTGTGGGCGAAGGTGCTGACCATGGGGATGTTGTGCACCATGCGCCAGGGCTGCCGCAGGTAGGTGTCCGAATCGGCCATCCTGCTGGCGATGGGGACACGTGCGGGGGCTGGCTGGCAACGGTGAGCATCACAGGGCCACATCATCCCCCAGGGTCCCCAGAATCCCTGCTGAGCCCAGCCATCCCAGCCGCGGGAAGGAAACCATCCCCTGCTTGCTGGCATCCCGGGAGGTGGCACCTGCCTCCTGCGGGGATTTTGGGGGCTGGCTGGCAGTGCAGGGAGCGTGGAGGGGCACAGTCAGCCCTGGGGGGCTCAGGTCAGTGCAGGCAGTGGGCAGCTGCCCTTACCAAGCTGGCAGCGCCCTTCCTGGGTTGTAAAAGCTCACAGAGGCTTTGCTGGCTGGGGTTTCAGGCTGCTTTCTGCCCCTCTCCCCAGTGTTTTTTTCCCTGACTTTCTGTTGCACAGCAGCACCGGGAAGCCCTGCTTGGGGGGGGCTACATGAGGGTTTGAAGGAGACTGGAAGGGAGAGCGGGGCTTGCAGGACTCTCCCCGGGAAACCTTTCCACCCGCTGGCCGAGACAGAAATGCTGGAGATACCAGCTGCGAAACCCCCACACTGTGATTTTTTGGAGAGCGTCTTTGTGGCTCACCTCCATCTCCCAGGAGGTTGCAGGGACACCGAATCCCTCCGAGCCACCCGTGCCCCCCCACGCAGGCCCTCCGCTTGCGAGGCCGGGGCACCCCAAAGCAGGCCAAGCTCCCAGACTGTGGCCAGGGGTCTCCCTGGTACCTGTCTCTTCGTCGGGCACTCTGGCAGGGAGGAGGCAAAGCTTTGCACGCAGCCTGGGGGGGGCGGATTTGTTATTTTCCCTTCCCTGCGTGGAAGATGGAGGTGCAGGGAGGCTCCTGGGGCTGCGGGAGGCCAGGGGACATCATTAGGGAAGGGACCCGGAGCGACCTGCTCCTGGCACTGCAGAGGGAGGAGTGCAGGGAAGGGGCGAGCAGGGATGGGGACGCAGCCCCTCTGGGGATGGTCCCCAGATGCCTGTGATGAGCTGTGCCATGCTCAGCACTCCCCTGGTAAACACACAGATGGCGGGGGGGTGTGAAATCACAGCTTCCTCCTCCGCCCGCAGAGGTAAGCGCAGGGAGGAAATCCCAACCCACGTCCTGGAGGGTTTGAACATCACCCTGTCCCGATCCGGGGGTCACCCCTGTGGGCGTCCCCAGCTCCTCACACTGGCGGGGGCTCACTAGCGGGATGTGGGGGTCAGGCTCTTGGTCATCCCCCCTCAAGGCACTCTAATACGGGTCCAAAGTTTGCAGAGTTGCAAAGCACGAGTGCAGCTGATACCATGCTTCTGGGAAAAGGGTTTAAAGGCGCCGGTGGTGGTGAAATGCTCCTTCTTACCTGCTTCCCATGGGCAAACGTGAGCCAGGAGGGAGCGGGAAGGGCAGGAGAGATGGCAGCTGGGCAGGGGGAGCAGCTTGCCTGCTTGCAACCTTGAGAAAAACATCCCAGATTTGTCCCCAGGGCCGAGTTCAGGTGTTTTGCAGGCAGGGACATACCCTCCCTGCCCATCTGTCTGTCCATATGCCAGCAAAATTGGCTGCGTGTGCAAACCCCGCAGGCAAAGCCAGGAGCTGGGGAAGCACAGGGATCTCCATCGGCATTTAAATAAATGTGTGGAAAGGATTTATTCCTGTGGGAGAACTCCCCTCATAGCGCTGCTGGTCTTCAGGAGTTGGATCCAGGTTGCACTTCTTTGGGGATGAAACAACCCCACGAGACTGCCTTGCCAAAAAGCTGCAATCTTGCATTTCAAGATGAACTCAAGAAATTCAAGAACAGGCTGGAAACAGGGTGTAACTGGGGAATTTGGGGCTCCAAAGCAAACCCTTGCCCCCAGTGGGACTGGGACTGGTTTGCTCCAGCCATCCCTGAGCAAGGGCTCGGCACAGCCGGGTCAGAGGTCGCAGGGTGGGTTTCCCCATCTGGCAAGGATGGCGAAGTTGCCAAGCATGGCAATACACTGGCAGGGAGGTGTTTCCCTTCACCTTTGTTCTGCAAACCACGGGCTGAGCAGCTCCGGCTGCACCAGGGAGCCTGGGGGAGCCCCGCCACTGCCCGCTCTGTCAAGAAACTTGCCACAACCTGGAGGCATGAAAGCTCCTGCGCACACAAGAGCTGCGGGGGCAGCAGGTTCACCAGTGCTTTGGGGTTTTTCCACTCTTCACCGATCTTTGCTCTCTCCAGATGCCTTGGTAGGATGGGGCTGGGGCGGCCCAAGGTGTCGGGGCCAGCGGTGGTTTTTGGGAGGATGCCTGCCCCCGGTGATGCCCGACCACCACCAGCTAAAAATCCACCGCGCACGCCCACCCTCCCGCCTGCTGAGCATGGGGGGTGCCCCCGGCCGCTGCCAGGGATTCAGGGGATTCAGCCCCCCTACCTTTCCCTGCAGGCCATGGCTCGCCCTCCTGTTATCCCAATTTATTGTAGGGGGAAAAAACGAATCGGCGCGAGGATCCTCTGTCTGGACCCACCCTCCCCACTGGGGTTGCAGGGAGAAGCAGAGCCCCCCCTGGGAAGAGGGATGAGCCCCTCATGCCTCCATCTGGAAATGGAGGTCGGAGCCTGCCATGTGCTCCTGGTAGTGCTGGTCGAAGCACTCATTCTGGGCCACGGTGAAGTGGTTCTTCCAATCCCCGGATATCCCTGGGGGACAGAAAGCAAGTGGGGCAAATCCTGACACTCCCAAAATATTTGCAGCCATGGATGGGGGCTGCAATACAGACCAGGGACACCCCTCCCAAGCCCTCCACTGCTGGCCGAACCCCACCTTTCCGGAGGAAGGGGGAGAGGCTGTGGTCCATCAGGGTCGTGGGCATGGTCTCGTAGTTGGCGGCGGGGTTCTTCCTCATCTCCTGGAAGGAGGTGTGGTGGAGGATCCTCGCCACCGTCCCCTCTGCCACTTCCTTGCCCAAGAACTGCAGGATCTTCTGCACCTCCTGCTGAGGGTCCTGCGGGGCAGCTGACATGGGGAGGCTGCCAAAAAGGCTGGGGGGAGGCAACCGGAGCACCCTCCCCTCCATCCCACCCTCACCTTCTTCATGTCCTCATAGAAGAGGTAGAGGAGCTGCTTTTCCTGCTTCTTCTCCCACCAGCCCCGCACATGCTCATACCAGGACCCGTAGGCCACTGTGGGATGTGGTCAGGGGGTTAGCCAAAAAGCAGGGTGGCTGGAGACGCCCTCCCCACCGCTATTTTGGGGTGGGCACCCTGGGGCTCAGCCCCCACCTTTGCCAGCCATGAAGGTCTCCAGGAACTCTCCTAGCGTGCCGGGGTTGGGATGCACTTTGGCCATCTGGTAGAAGTAGTAGTAGGAGACGACGACATCCTTGGGGTTGCGGGCCATATAGATGACCTGGGGACAGCCAAGGATGTGGTAGGGGGGTGCAGAGCAGTGCCCCCTCCCTGCCACGCAGACAGGGAGAGAGGCAGGGGGCACCCGCAGCATTACCTTGCAGTCCTTGTCCCGGAAGGAGGTCGGGAGGAGCCGGACTGGGAGATGGGTCTTCACCAGCCGCGGGGACGGGGTTTTCTCCAGCAGCTCGACGCCTGCGGGACAGGGGGCTTAGCAGTGTGAGCCCCAGCACCCTCACCCCCACCCTGGCTCAGCCCCCTCCCCACCCAACCCAGGGGGGCAGCTGGGGGCTCACCGCTCAGCATCTCAGGGGCCTTCATTTCCAGGAAGGGCACCCGGTTGAAGATGGCATCCCGTCGGCACTTCTCCACATCACCATCATGGTAGATCATGTCCAGGATCTCGCTCAGCCACGTTGTGCCTGCAGCACAGGGACAGCGTTGCAAGGGCTGGCGTCACCCCGTCTCCCCTGCACCCTTCCCCGGGGCCACTCACCTGATTTGGGGTAGGTGGCGATGAGCAGGTCATCTGGCCGGGCTTGGAAAGCCTCCACCTGTGGCCAGCCCTCAACGAAGCACTTGTAGAGGGGGATGCCATGGAGGCTGCCCAGCTCCTCCCTGACCACGTCTTCCCTCCCCATGGCCAACGGCAGGTCCCCGTGGCACTGGCTGTCCTCCCTGCCAGCAGTCTCTGCGACCTTGGGACCGGCTCGATCCTGTGGCGGGTGTACCCGGGGCAGCGCCCTGTCAGGCAAAGTCCACCCCGGGTCACGTGCGGCGGAGGTGTTGCCGGTGCCGCCCATTCCCCGGCGGGACACCACTGCAAAACATTTGGTGCTGGCTGTGCACTAAGCCCAAGCCGTGAGGGGCCGGGAACAGAGCCTGGCATCGCCTCTCCTCCCACCCAGCCATGCTTCTCCCCCTGCTTCAGCCCCTTTAATGGATGCCATGGGGTTTTGGAGCTGCAGGGACAGCTCTGCCAGCCGGGGCCCCCCCATCCCCGCCACCGGCCGTACCTGCTGGGGTCCTGCGGGCGCTGGTCGGCAGCGCTGTTGGCCCCGGGAGCCTCGGCACCTCCGCCCTCCCGCCCCTCCCCAAGTGGTAATGGTTAACGAAAGCCGGCTGGGCCAAGGGGCACGGAGAATGGGAAGCAGGTTTAAAGGGCCGACAGCCGGGGCGTGGGGAGGTTTTGGGGTGGGCATCCCCCGGGGAGGCATTGAGGGGAGCGGCGGGAGCCTGTGGGGACCCCCTGACCCCAATCCCAGTTGGACACTGGCGAGGGACAGGCGGATGGACCCTTATTATAGGCAGGCCAACGGGCAAGGAGCCCGGACGGGAGAGCAATGGCGCTGCGGGGGGAGGGCAGGAGGGATGTGGCAGAAGGGGCCTGGTGGGTGGCGCCCGGGCGCCACCATGGTGTCACCGGTGCCGGTACCGGGGG